GAGAGAGAGAGAGAGAGAGAGAGAGAGAGAGAGAAAGAGAGAGAGAGGAAGGATTAATAGATCTTGAGAGTTGCTCACTTTTCTGAAACCACTTTTTAAAAGAATCATATGCTATTAGAATTTTTCCTTGGGAGAAATTTTAAAATTTCTGCTTCCTCATGTCTCAGTAAGCAAATAAAATCCTCTAAATGAAGGAAAATTGAGCTACCCCTACATTTAGTTGGCCCTTAACTATGAAGCCTTGGTCTAATTTCCCAGTTCAGATTTCTTTACTAGGCTGAGTGTGATCTTGAGAACTACTGAGAGAGGAGAAAGAAAGACAAATTTACCTTTACTTAACATTGCAAAAGAACATTTGTTTTATAAAGAAAAAGGTCAGAAATTGCATCAATTGCAAGCACTGTAATGCCTAACAGGAAAGATGACCTAAGGACCAAGTGCTTTAAGCCAAAGATTGTTACTTTAGACTCCATTCAGAGAAAGAAGAAGGAGGGTACCTTATTCTATCTTAAGAAGCATAATAGAGAAATGAAGGGAGCTAAAGACAACTATGTGCTTATGATACATACAAAACAGATCTTACATTAATGTTCCATCAACATAAAAAAATTGATATTTGTTGAGTATTTAAAGTTTGCAAAGCACTTTACATACCTTATCTTCTATGAACCTTAGAACAAAGTAGCTAAATAATATTTACAGGCATTATTATCCCCATTTTACAGATGAGGAAATTGAGGCTCAAAGTTGTTTAGGTGATATGCTCATGGTCATACAGCTAGGATGACTCAGCAGCAGCATTTGAACCCAGCTCTTCTAGACCTAAGACCAATGTTCTATCTACTATGCAATATTCCTTTAACCTACTGAAAAACTTTTATAGAGAAACATGAATTATTTATGTCATCTAGGAATTGACAATCCATAGAACTTGAAAACACTTAATACACTTCCCTATGTTAATTGGCAAATATGTCTTTCCCTGAGAAACACTTAGTCCAAGTTCTATTTTTAGGGCTCAGCTACCACAGCACAATTTTGTAGACAATTGGGACAAAGGGTGGGAGATGTGCATTCAGAAAGTTAAATAAGAGCTTTAAGCTACAATTTGACCAGGAAAAAAACAACTTGCCTATTCCTATGGAAATCAATATGAAGTCCAACTTTGTCACACCTGATCACACCCATGAGTACTAAACCTATATGCCCACCCTGAAACATTCAGTATTTTAAGTGCCTTATAAATACAGTACAAACCAAGAGCTGTGCTGCAAGACTTCATTTTCTTTTACCTTGTAAGAGGGGTGTCCAATAGCCCTCAACCTCAAGTCATGCATCTAAAAAGGTGCCCTCATAGCTTTAGCAGGGAAGAATGCCTGCTTGATGGAGTTATAAGATCAAAGGTGTAGACTCAATGTGATTAATGCCTAGATAAAATTATTGAATGACTCAAAGGTGTAAAGTAGGTACAAATTCATTGGCCTCAGTACCAGACAGGAAATATCTTACAGTTCCTGAAGAGAACCAGTCACCCTCTCTGGGGTTTGGATAAAACAACCAGATAATTCAGATTCCAGTATCAGGCCAGCCTATTAATCAAAAAGCTCCAGCTGAGCCCTGAGAGGGAATCACTTGGGGGAGAAGGGGAAGAGGAAGATGGGGAAAAAGAGGAGAGAGTCTATGTCTTCTCTCCCTCCCCTTGACCAGAGAATATCCTTGTGAGCTTCAAAAGGATGCAGGAGTTGGCCGAACTTCTTCCTGGCTGTTGGTAACCATATCCCCAGAATAACAGAGGCTGATGGCTACATCTGCACCAGGAGCCAAGGCAAAGTAGACTCCTAGAAAAGATAGCCTCAGGACCATACAAGGGCACTGACTCTGAGAGCCCAGTGGAGACCAAAACCCCCAAAGGGGAACTTCATGAGGATGCACAAAGGGAGAAAAGACACCAGGCACTGTGTGTTACCCCGTGGTCACGTGTACTTTCTGAGTTGGAGCCCACTTTCCCCTGGCTTTTGTATGGACTTGTGGGAAAGTGTGTGCCAGACTTTTGTAGAAGGATGATTTTATGCCAACTATTGTTGCTATATATCACATTAGTCGGAACCTTTTTCTATAAACCAAATAACTCTGGCTGGCTCATTGATAATTATTGGAGGGGGCACACCTAATGGGGCAATTGTACTACAAAACCATCCTAATCCCTCAGGGTCACCCCTAGGACCCTAGCAGAGAAGAAATTGGCCTCCCTCTGGGAACCTGGTCAACCAATGTGTGTGGGAGTAGGGACAGTGAGTCTGGAGTGGTGGGCAGGGCAGGGGAAATGATTCAAAATTGAAAGCATTAAGAGAAATGGGGAGGAAAACCATTTCATGTTTCATGGCTTCACAGATGACAACACAACATCGATATTAAATGAATAGGTATTGAAAAGGACAGCAGCTAAATACTGAAAGGGAGAGTTAAACTTTGGAACTCAGCACGATTCCTCCCTGCTAGCAGCCACACTCCAAATGAACTCTCCCATCCCCTGGCCTAGAGGCAGTGGAGCCAGGAATCTTCAAGTTCAAATTCAGCCTCACATACTTACTAACTGTATGACCTTAGGCAAGTCAATTAATTTCTGTATGCCTAAGTTTCTCAACTAAAATATGGGGATAATAATAGCACTCACCTCCCAAGTTTCATGTGAGAATCAAAGGAGATAAAATCTTTAGGACCTGGGACATAGGAGGTTCTTAATAAATGCTCCTTTCTTTGCTGCCTCCCCACCCTTTCCTTATCCCAACCACAAACATCTTCCTAAAGCACAGGTAAGGCCATGTTAACCCCTTGTTTGAAAACAAAAACAAAAATTCCATTGGTTCTATATCTCCTAAGTTAAAGTACAAACTACTGTGTCTGGTGTTTATAGGAATCTTTACTCTCTGGCTCTAATCTACCTTTCCAGGCTCACTACACGTCCCCTTCAGGCACTCTACATTCCAGCCAGACTGGCCTGCCTGCTGATACTCACACCCCACATTTCCTCTACCATCTCTGTACGTCTGCTAAGGCTGTTCCTGTTGCCTAGAATGGTCTTCTTCCTCATCTGCTCGTCCTAGAAAGTCTAGCTTCCTTCAAAACTGAGCTCCATTGTCTCCTCTTACATGAGTCTTTTCCTGATTCCTCTGGTGGTTAATTTTTCCCCCACCTCAAAGTTACCTTGTACTCACTTAATCAATGTACATGCCATTTCTTCTAATAGAATATAAACTGCTTGAGGGCAGGTACTGTTTCCTTTTTTTAAAAATTTTTTCTTTGCATCCCCAAGGCCTAGCAAATGGTAGACAATAAAATACTTTTTTCAGTTGATGAAAATTCCTTGTAAACTGCTTTATTCTCCAGCCCTATAGTTTCTTTCTTTTTCTTCATGATCTTTCAAAATATCCTAGATCAATTAATAAAGGAAACTTCAGGGATGATTTGGCCCCTACTCACTGACTTTGAGGCCAAACGTGGTTGAGTGCCTTGCCAAAGATCACAATGGGAATAACATGGGCGTGTGAGTGGATTTGAACCCAGGTCCTATCACTCCAGAGCCAGTGCTCTTTCCTGAGTATCAAAGAAACTTCTCCCATCCCTTTTTTCTTCATTATCATTGTTCCATCTACCCAGGCTACAATCCTATTCCTAACAATGGTTAAACAGTCACATTGGTCACATCATTCAGAACCTTGGGTTGTAGCTTGTCTGAAACTGGTGTCTTGAGTTCCTCAAAGACAGCTGTATACTGTCCTCCTGCTTATCATCTTTGGTTTCACTCCTTATTAGACATTCTTGGTCTCTTCCAACAAAGAGTTATCCTCCAAGGAGCAAAATAACAATTCATCAGGGTCAGAGAACTAGAAGGATCCTCAAAGGCCAAGCCCCTTCTTTTTTTTTACAAATAAGGCCCAGAAATGGTAAGTGACTTGCTCAAGCTCCTCTAATTAGTACATGGCAGAGTTGGGATAGGAATCAGAAAGGTGCTGGAGCTTGTAAAAGCCCATTGTTAAATTTTCAGTGTGGGCATTTATACTTTGGAAATCAGTGAATGCTCTGAATTAGGGCTTGAGTGTGTTGTTGATTGTTCACACTTAAGAAAATGATGGATATCGTTTTAATAATGTAGATTGAATTTAAAAGAACATTGAAAGAATACTTTTTAGGTGGGGAGAGCTGGTTGTTAAACACTTACCACCACACTCTAGAATAAAAAAACAGGCTCTCTCACTCCAGAAACAATCCTCTGTCTCACAAAATCTCTATTTTCTTTATCATTATTGTCCCATCCAACCCTCACAACTTTCTTATTTCTGCTTTGGTCCTCCTCTTTCCCCAGTATAACTTTAAAAAAAGTTTTGACTTTGTTTTTTTTCTGTCCCTAACTTCCTTTCCATTATCAGCTCAATGGTACCTTTAGCATTCCTTACATTATTCTTTTGGGCAGCTAGGTGGTGAAGCAGAAACAGTGCCAGGCTTGGAATCAGGAGGACATGAGTTTAAATTTGACCTCACATACTTCCTAGCTATGAGACCTTGGGTAAATCACTTAACCCTGTTTGCCTCAGTTTCCTCATCTGCAAAATTAGCTAGAGAAGGAAATGGAAAACCACTCCAGGAACCTTGCCAAGAAAATTCCAATGTCTGGCTCAGAGAGTCAGATGTAACTGAAAGGA